GGGCCAGGGGCTGGGAGAGGCTGGGTGCAGGGCTGGGAGAGGCAGGGCCGGGGGCTGGGGGAGGCTGGGTGTGGGGCTGGGAGAGGCTGGGCCAGGGGCTGGGGGAGGCAGGGCCAGGGGCTGGGGGAGGCAGGGCCAGGGGTGGGAGATGCAGGGAGGGGGGCTGGGAGAGGTTGGGTGTGGGGCTGGGGGAGGCTGGGCCGGGGGCCGCCATCCCACAATGGAGCTCCCAGCTAGGACCCAAGGTCTTGGAAGCGCAGAGCCTGGGTGGTGCAGCAGGGTCAGGGGTGCAGTGGATGAGTGACCCCAGCAGGCAGAGGCCGCAGTGACATCCATGGGAGGATACCATTCCCGGGATGGGGGTAGGAGGGCCACCCGCAGAGCATGGCTCGTCTGGCATAACCGACACAGGAGCTGTCGCACAGAGGCCGCCCTTGGCCAACACCAGAGAAAGTCCCAGGCCCTGGGGAGCTTGCCACTGAGCTGGCCTTGGGCCATGCCCATCCACTGCAATGGAGCCTGGGGCTCTTGGGGACGGATCCTGCGTGCCTCAGCGAGCCCAGAAACAACACCCCTGGCACAGCAGGTGTGCACGCAGGAGCAGGTGGCCCCCAGGCTGACTGTGGCTGGCTGGTAGGCAGGGCCTGGCCACGGGTGCCTGGCACTGGTCAACCATGACCATCCCCCAGGAGGAAGGGCCCAGGCCACATCAGGCAGCACAGACAACAGCAGGTCGTCTGCCCTCTGGGGTCTCCTTACATAGCCGGGACTACCCGGCCACCCAATCCGGCCACCCACTCTGTAGAAGCCTTCACACACCAGGACTGGGTCAGGACCCTGCACCATCCCTGTACCACTGACCCATTAGCTGCCAGTGTGACAGAGGGTTTGGAGGCCAGCACACATGTGGGGAGGCCACCGCAGGTGGGCAGCAGTCCCAGCCCCCCAGTTCTCTGTGCCGCCGTGGGAGGCCCTGCTCCTGTGCCCGGCCTCAGCCTGGCGGCCCTCCTTGCTCCCTCAGAGGCTCTGGGGTGCAGCTGTGAGTGCCAGTGCCGGCACATGTCGAGTGGGAGCCCTGAGTCCTGGGGTAGGACAACTGGCCTGTCCCGCATGAGAGAACTGGAGCCGGGTGCTCCCTGGGAGGCCAGCAGTTCCCCTTGTCCTGCCCAGGGCCTGTGCTCACTCCTGCCAGCACCACGCCAAAGGGACAGTGTCTCAGAGGACATCCCAGTGACCCCGTGTTGACCTCACACTAGTCAGGCCTGCTACAAGACTGACGGGGTGTGACGTCTCCCTACCCCTGCCAGGGGTCAGCTATATGAGGGAGGGTTCCAGGCATCCCATGACCTGGGCCAAGCCACGCCCCCTGCTGTGGAGTGTGCCATGCAATGGCAGGATGCTCAGTGAGCGGTGGCTGGAGGTGCCGTGGTGGCCCATGAAGCTGCCACATGGGGCAGGTGTGAGCCACAGCTCTGCCATGTGGTGGGCGTGCTGTCCTCTGCAATCCTCTGGCCTGCAGGGGTGCAGCGTGTGAGCCACAGCTCTGCCATGTGGTGAGTGTGCTGTCCTCTGCTACCCTCTGGCCTGCAGGGGTGCAGCGTGTGAGCAGCGGCTCTGTCCCAGGAGCTCCTCATCTAGAACGAGTTTCCCTTTTCTTCTCAGCTGCACCAGCAGATCCTGTGAATGGCTTGGATGTGAGTTCAGAGACTGCGGTGGCCTGGTCTAGACCCCTGGGGGGCTGGTCTACAGGTCTAGACCTTGGGAGGCCTGGTCTACACCCAGGAGGGCTGGTCTAAAAGTCAACACCCGGGTCGCCTGGCCTACACCCAGGAGGCCTGGTCTACATCCTGGAGGGCTTCATCTACACCCCAGTAGGCCTAGTCTACAGGTCTACACCCTGGGAGGCATGGTCTAGACCCGGGGAGGGCAGGTCTACATCCCGGAGGGACCTGTTTGGGTGGTTTTCTCGGTTGATATCCGTGGGACAGCAGAAGGACCTGGAAAGAAGTCAGGCTGTGGTGGAGTGGGAGGAGCCTCTGCCTGGAGTCCTGGCTGCTCCTCCCCCATCCGGCCTGGGAGCAGTGAGGAAGCGCCTGGCTCCTGGCTCCGGATCCACCCAGTTCTGGCCACCGTGGCCATCTGGGGAGTGAAACAGTGGATGGAAGATCTCTGTGTGTGTGTCTCTAACTCTGTCTCTCAATTTTAAATAAATAAAATATTGGAGCAGGCACACTGGGCTGGGCCTCTGCCCGTGGTACTGGCATCCCATGTGGACGAGAGTTCGAGTTCTGGTTGCTCCACTTCCGATCCGGCTCTCTGCTGTGACCCGGGAGGGCAGTGGAAGCACCCACAAGGGGGACCGGGAGGGAGCCCCTGGCTCCTGATCAGCGTGGCTCTGGCCATTGCAGTCATTTGGGGGGTGAACCAGTGGATGGAAGGCCTCTCTTGTCTGTCTTTCCCTCTCACTGTCTGTAATGCTACCTCTCAAATAAATAAAATCTTTAAAAATAAATAAATAATTAAATATTAACAAAAGCTTAAAAATGTAATTAATCTATCTGAAAGACATACTTTCAGCAGGGAGAAACGGAGGGAAGGGGAGAGAAGGGGATGGAGAGAGCAAGAGTGGGAACAACACCACTTTAATTTTGAAGATATCATAAATAGTTTCACAGTCTGCGTTGTAAGAACTCAGGAGCCTGGAGGAGCGACAATAGGTCCGTTACCTTCCCCAGGAATCCTCCCTCAGGAGGAAGACAGGATGTGAGTGAGGCTGAGGCTGTAACCTGCTGTTCTATGGGGAGGGAAGCCTGGCTTGTTTGTGCAGCATCTCCAGTAACATTGTTTCTATTCTCTCCATGTGTGCTCTGAGTGTTTCACCTTCAGCAGACAAACAGAGCAGCAGGCTGATGGTGGGCAGCACCACCAGAACTCAGTTTGCAAATGCTCAATTCCTCTAAAGGGACACCTTTATGCCTCTAGTTTTGTTTTTGAACATACAAGTACATATGTGTGTGAGTGAATGTATACATGAGTGAGGGAGCCACAATCTGTTCAAGCCATGGCAGAGCTTGGAAATCATTTGGGACAATGAGCTGAGACTGCCTGGGCTAAGAGGAGCAGTTGACTCCTCTTACTGGACATCTTTAATGGACAAGAACCAAGAGGAAATGAAAAAGGGGGTGGGAATGGGGGTGGAATTAGAGACTGGGAGGATCAGTGCTTCTATACATGTATTGAAACAATAGAAAAAGCCTGAAGAGGACTGTGCTAATTTATCAAATCCTAAATACCGATCTCTACCACCAACTTAAGCCAAAAGCTTTTGGGGTCCTTTCTCTTTAACCAAGTAGAAAGTTTCTTGAGAAAACCAGCCTGGTGTGTCCCCAGCTGTGATTGGTCTAGAGCCTCCTCTGCCCTCAGGGGGGCCATTGTGATGTCATTCCAACTGCCTTAACAGTTCCCTGCTTGGGCTCGGTTCTGGTCAGTTGGCCCAGGAAGCTCTGTGGAGACTGCCTGAAGGATTGGACGACATCACTGGTTTTCCCTTGTCCTGTCATTTGTGGTGTTGTTTTGTGTCGTCTATTAGTTCTCTTTACTGTAGTGAATCTTTCAGTTTTTTTGTGTGTTTTTGCTATTTTTTCAATTTCTCTCCCCCTCCCATTTTACATTGTGTGCTTGTGTATTTTCTTTAAATATTTATTTATTAATTTTTTCTTTTTCTTTCACAGGCTAAATGTACTTGATGCTGTGTTCATTTGTCCTTCTTGTGTTTCCTCCATTTTCTGACTATTTTCTCATTTTTTAATGCTTTGACTTAGATAAGACTGTTATAAGACTTATTGATTAGCATTGTTACCATAGTTACCATAGTTGGTGTTGCTTTCCTTCACCATTTTTAGTATTCTGTGTATTTTATAACTTTTAATTCTTAGTTTTGATAGTGTTAGTGATTAGTATACCATAGTTCATAGAGTTAGCATTCTCTAGTAGAAATATTAGCATATTGAGTTGTCAATTTTGGTTACCATTTAGCTTGTTTGATTTCTGTTTGTTTCCCAGTTTTTGTTGTTACTTTAGGTGACTAGTAAGTGTTCCCAGTGTCAGAGTGCAGGGTGGGGGGTGGGGTGGGGATCCCACCATGGAAGGCCTCACCGCCTTCACCAGTGAGGAGGAGGTCCTGGATGGGTACCAGGTCCTCAGGGTCCTCGGCCAGGGCGGTTTTGGGCTGGTGATCCTGGCCTATCATTGGGAAAGCAGGACCCAGGTGGCTGTGAAGGTTGTGGAGAATGGTGGCCAGCACTCCTGCAGCTTCCAGCAGTTGTGCACAGAAGCAGAAATAATGAAGGGGCTGCATCACCCTCACATCATTCAACTACTGCAGGTCAGGCACACCACAGAGAGGGGCTACATTTTCATGGAATACGCAGTCAGGGGGGACCTTAGATGTTACATGGTAGAACGAGGGTACCTGCTGGATGGAGAGATTCGTCAGCTATTTAAACAAATTCTATCTGCTGTGCATTACTGCCATTCGCAGCACGTGGTGCACAGGGATTTAAAGTTAGAAAACCTGCTTCTCGACGCCAACCTAAACATTAAGTTGAGCGATTTTGGTCTCAGCTGCAAACTGGCTGGTGGAGAGCGCCTGAAGAATCTGTGCGGGACCTTTGCCTACTGTGCGCCCGAGGAATTCTTAGGTGAGGAGTTCTGCGGGTACAAGGCTGATGGCTGGAGTGTTGGCGTGATCCTGTACGCCATGGTGGCAGGCTCACTGCCTTTTGTTGGAGAGGATTTTGTGGAGCTGCGGGCAGCCATCCTGTCTGGATACTACAGAATCCCCCACTATGGAAACCCAGAGCTGTGTAACCTGGTGGACAGCTTACTGACCCGGGACCCTGAGGCCAGGCCCACAGTGGCAGACATCATGGGCCACCCATGGCTCCATGCAGGACATGGAGCAGCCTGGAACCAGTGACGAGTTTCTGTTTCTTCCACAGGAGCAGGAAGGATGGGAATTCCCATGGGGCCTCTGCCCTCCACTGTGGCTTCATGAATGGGATGACCCCTTGCCCCCTGTGCCACGCTGGGGGATCTCCCAACAGCAGGGCTTCAGCATCCCAGAAATACATAGACAGAGCCAAGTGGAGCCTGCAGTACCTCCTCAGGGTCCTGAAGCTCTAAGCTCCCTTGAGGACCTGGGATGCCAGCTGGGCCATCAAGCAGGCTCCCTGCCACCCAGGCTCCCAGCCAGTGCCTTGTGCCCAGGACTTCAGCAGGATCACAGCAAAGGGAAGCCCATGCCTCAGGCCATCCCCGGTGCTCAGAGCTGTCCCGTTCTCCAGTGCCTCCAGGGACACTCAGGCTGCAACAGCAGAGCCCGTGAGTGTGCTGCTCTCAGCTCCCAACCACTGGTGCTTGCAGAAGGCCAGTCGGGGCAGACTCCTTGCCATGGGACTCCCAGTGTGAGCAGCAGTGAGTCCTGCAGGACAGACAGGTCCCAACGGGCCGTGTGGACAAGGAGCCCCGCTGCCTGTGCAGTCCTCAGCCAGGATGCTCTGTCCTCTCTCTTCCACCACACTGAGCACCAACAGCAGTGAGGCTGATGTGGAAGTCAGGAGCGGCTCCCAGGGTGCCTCAGAGGAACAGAGCATCCCAGGAATGCAGCAGCAGGAGGAGGAGGCAGGGACCTCAGACACGCAGGCCAGAAAGGGCAAGGGTCGCCTGGGGATTGGCAGGAGGATCATCCAATGCTTCAGCTGGATGTGTTGTGTCCTGCTAGCCCCAGAGGAAAGCCCTTGAGTGCAGAGAGGAAAGTGGCCTCTTAGTAGCCTCTTGGGAAATGCCCCCGAGGAGGGGCCCTTCCCTGAGGAGTGAAGCAATGAAGGGTAGTCATGGACTCCTGTCTGGGAGGAGGGCAGATGAGGAGGCAGTAAGAGAAACTGCAGGCAGAGAGGGAAGATATTGTTGCATTTTTCAGATGGCCATAAGGAAACATGTTTGCATGGTTAGGGGTCATGACCTTTTCCTAAGATAGAAGAACATGGTGTTGGATTTTGTTTAGAAGATTAATCCATGAACATCACTCCCTAGTTAAACTTCCTGTACGCAGGCTTTATTTGACCCCTCCCTTAGTCCCCCTTCTGGCTGGCAGGGGTGTCATTTTCTCACAAAAACCTACTTTTGCTTTTTCTCCCTCACCCTCATGATCCGTGTTGGGATTATGTGAGAGAACGAATGGACTTGAACTTCCCGCAGCATCGTTGGTGCCTGACGTGGATGGACTCAGCTCCATGGGAAAGGTGAGTAAGGCAGACTGCTTCTCTGGTGTTTGGAAAACCCCTGATCTTCTACATACTCATTTATCTTTTAGATTCCCCAGGTCTCTGAGCCAGTTCAAAGCGATTGGTGTGGGATGCTGGTTGTAAGATACAGGGCCCACGTTGGATGACACTCTTTGTCCTCCTCCCACTTTATTCTGCCTTTGATAATTGCCTGCATTCTGTGCTCAGGTGGCTCTCTACCCTGGGAATTCTTCTCACCCTGAGTTTCTTTCTCCAAGCCCAAGTTCCCAGGTCCCCGGATGAGAAACTCCTGCGACACTTAGAGCTCCTAGATCTGAACTGAGGAGCCTGCATTGCAGACCGAGGTGGCCTCCCATTGAGCTGTCTTCCTGTGTGCCCCAAAGAACTCAGGACCCACATGTCTGGGAAGAAGTCACCTGGCACCTTAACTCGTGCCCATGCTTTCTGTTTCCTGCCCAGGGTTTTCTTTGGCAAACAACATGTTGGAAGTCATTCCTGCCCAGAGCCATGCTCTTAAAGGTGACTCACAGGGGAAATTTCTATCGCCATGCGACACCCATGTTCCCCCTCTGCACATTCAACAGTCCTGCAGCACGGACCACTTGCCCACCCTCCACACTTTGGCAACAAGAGAGTTAGTTGAGATCCCCTTTGTAGAGCCTCATTTCCAAGTTCAGATATGATGCAGGGACAGCAGGAGTGACAGAGGGCTGAGGCAATGACTGCTAGGGACTGCGGGAACCCCAAAGACTCAGCGACTTCTGGGAGAATGGGGGGTCCTAAAACTCGGCTGCTGGGGGGGGCCGAGGAAGGAGGAGGCAGCTGCTAGGGTCCACATGGTGACCTAGTGATGCAGTGGCAGTGGGAGTGCCCAGGGAAGGAGCTGGTGGGGCCTGGGGACCGTGTGGTGGGGCCTGGGGGCTGCACAGAGGGCTCAGATAACCACAGGGGAGCCCAAGAAGAAGTAGGAAGAATCCTGGGGCAATCATAGGGAGGCTGCTGAGGACCATGCTGGGGGCCCCATGACGGGTGGCTCCTGGTGGCTGCACCCTGGGCCACAAAGACGTGGCTTCACTGGGTGTGCCTGAGGAAGCAGGAGGCAGCCAAGGCATGCCATGAAGTGGTAGGTGCTGGGGAACTGTGTGGGGTGCCCAATGCTGCTCCTGGAGGGGGAAGAGGAGAGCAGGGCCTGGCCCTGGAGATTGAGGAGGAGAGTAGGTTCCGGCCCTGGTGGGTGAGGAGGGGAACAGGGTCCAGCCCTGGAGGGCAGCGAGTGGAGCTGGGCCCAGGCTCTGGTTTCAAGGTGGGGAGCAGGGTCCAGCTCTGGAAGGTGACGAGCAGAGTGGGCCCAGGCCCTGGAAGGCGAGGAGCGGAGCAGGGCCTGCCCAGGAGGTGAGGAGGGTAGTGGGGCCTGGCCCTGGAGGGAAGCCCTGAAGTGGGGCCCAGCCCTGGAGTGTGAAGGTTGGAGTGGGGCCCAGGTTCTGCAGGGCAAGGAGAGGTGCGGGACAGGCCCTGGAAGGCCAGGAGCAGAATAGGGCCTGGCCCTGAAGGTGAGGAGGGAAGTGGGGTCTGGCCCTGGAGGGAGGCTAGGGATGGGCCTGTGGGGAGAAAGGCCTGGCTCTGGAGGGGGAGGAGGGGAGCAGGCCCAGACCAAGGGTGTGAGGAGGCTTTCGGTGCCAGCACTGGAGTATAAGGAGGGGAACACTGGCCCTGGAGGTGAGGAGGGGAGCAGGGTCTGGCCCTGGAGTGAGGCCAGGGATGGACCTGAGGGGAGCAGGGCGTGGCTCTGTAGGGGAGGAGGGGAGCAGGGTCTGGACTTGGAGAGTGTTGAGGTTAGTGGGGCCCAGCCCTGGAGGACATGGAGAGGAGTTGGGCCAGGCCTGGTGGCTGGCTAGTGCCGTGCCCGAGGGGAACAGGGCCCAGCTCTGTAGGGCACAAGAGGAGCAGGGGCCCAGCCCTGGAGGGTGGCCAGGGCCAGGCCTGAGAGTAGAAGGGTCCAACCCTGCAGGGTAAGGAGGGGAGTGGGGCCCAGCCCTGGAATGTAGTGAGGGGAGCGGGGCCTGGCCCTGAAGGACAGCAATGGGAGCTGGGCCCAGGCCCTGGTGGGCAACTAGGGGAGTGGGGCCCAGGCCCTGGAGGACAAGGAGAGTGGGGCAGCTCTGCTGGGTGTCTAGTGCCACACCTGAGGGGAGCAGGGCCTGGCTCTGTAGGGCATGGAGAAGAGAAGGAGCCCAGCCCTAGAGGGTGGCCAGGGCCCTGCCTGAGGGGATCATGGCCCTGGAGGGCAAGGAGGAGAGAGGGGTTTGTCACTGGAGCATGGCCAGGGCCCTGCCCGTGCCCTGGAGCCTATGTCCTGGGACCTGTGACCTGTGTCCTGAAGTCTGTCCTGTGTCCTGTAGCCTGAGTCCTTTCTCCTGTGTTCTAAGTTGTGTAGCCTGTATCTTGTAGCCTGTGTGTTGTGTTGTAAGCCTGTGTCCTGTGGCCTCTGCCCTGTGTCCTGTAGCCTGTGTCCTCTGTCCTATGTCCTGTGGCTGGTGTGCTGTGTCCTGTGGCCTCTGTCTTTTTTCCTGTAGCCTGTGACCTATAGTTTGTCCTATAGAGTGTAGCCTGCGTGCTGTAGCCTGTGTCCTCTATCCTGTGTACTGTGTCCATTAGCCTGTTCATGTGGCCTGTGTCCTTGTCCTGTAGCCAGTGTCCCATTGCCTGTGTCCTATAGCATGTGTCCTTTAGCCTGTGTCCTGTGTCCTGTAATCCGTGTCCTGTGTCCTCTGGCCTGTTTCTTTCTGCATGTGTCCTGTGGCCTAATGTGCAGCCTTTGTCCTGTGACCTGTGGGAGGGGCATGTCACTGGGGCATGGCCAGGGCCCTGCCTGTGCTCTGGAGCCTATGTCCTGTTGCCTGTGACCTCTGTCCTGAAATCTGTCCTGAGTCCTGTAGCCTAAGTCCTTTAGCCTGTGTTCTATGTCGTGTAGCCTGTGTCTACTGTCTTGTAGCCTGTGGCCTATGTATGCAACCTGTGTCCTGTGGCCTCTGTCCTCTAGCTGGTGTCCTATGTCCCCTAGCCTGTTTCCTGTGTATTGATCCTGTGTCCTGTGTCCTGAGCTTGTGTCGAGTGTCCTGTAGTCTGTGTCCTGTGTCCTGAGCCTGTGTCCTGTGTCCTATAGCCTGTGGCCTGTAGTCTTTGTCCTAGAGCTGGTTTCTCTTTGTAGTAGCCTGTGTCCTGTATACTGAAGCCGGTTTCTTGTAGCCTGTGGACAATGTCCTGTAGTTTGTATCCTGTAGCCTGTAGCCTGTGCCCTGTGCTCTGCATCCTATCCTGTGGCCTGTGGCCTCTGTCTTGTGTCATGTAGCCTGTGTCCTGTAGTCCGTGGCCTATGTCCTGTAGCTGTGGCCTTTGTCCTGTGTCCGGTGTGCTGTATGCTGTGGTGCAGGATATTGGACACGGCTACAGAACACAGCTTACAGGACACAGGACAGAGGCCACAAACCAAAGGCCACAGGCGACAGGATGCAGGACATAGTCAGAGGACACAGGACACAGGATAGAGGACACAGAATACAGAACCCAGGACACAGGCTAGAACACAGGCTATGGGACATAGGTTGACGCTACAGAACACAGGATCCAAGACAAAGGACACAGCCTACAGGACACAGGATACAGGACATAGGACCCAGGCTACAGGGCAAAGAAGAGAGGCTACAGGATACAGGCTATAGGACACAGAACACAGGACATAAGATACAGGCTATGGGACACAAGACACAGGACACAGGACATAGGACACAGGCAACTGGACATAGGACACAGGACACATACTACAGGACATTGTCCACAGGTACAAGACACTGGCTTCAGTATACAGTACACAGGCCACAGCAGAGAGGAAGTCAGCCCTAGGACAAAGACTATAGGCCACAAGCTCAGGACACAGGACACTGGCTCAGAACACAGGACACCAGTTATAGGACAGAGGCCACAGAACACAGGATGCATACATAGGCCTGAGGCTACAAGACATAGGACACAGGCTACACACCATAGAACACAGGATACAGGATACAGGACATAGACAAAAGGACATAGGCCACAGACTACAAGACAAAGATAAACTGCCACAGAACAGAGGCCACAGACTACATGACACAGGACACAGGCTAGACCACACAGTGTGAGGGAACCACTCAGGACACAGGGTAGAACACAGGCTATGGACAAGGAACAGGATATAGAACACAGGATACAAGACATAGGACACAGGACACATACACAGAACAGAGGTTAAAGGAAAAGGACACAGCAACATCACACAGGATACGGGACATAGGCTATAGGAAAGAGGACAAAGGAAATAGACTACCAGACACAATACACAGGATACCGGACCCAGAACACAGGACATAAGACACAGCCTACAGGACTCAAGACACAGGACATAGACCACAGGACACAGGCTACAGCACAGAGGGCACAGGCTACAGGACACAGGACATAGCCCAGATGACACAAGACACAGGATATAGGACACAGAATACCGAACAAAGGACACAGGCTATGGGACACAGGTTACAGGCTACAGGACACAGGTTACAGGCTACAGGAGACAGGACAAAGGCTAAGAAACATAGGACACAGGACACAGGCTACAGGACACAGGGACAGGCTACAGGACACAGGCTCTACAACATAGGACACAGGTCACAGAACAGAGGCTCAGGACAGAGGCTATGGGACACAGGACAGAGCTATAGAACAAAGGATAGAGGCCACAGGCTACAGGACACAGGACACATCCTACACAACACAGGCTGAAGGAAAGTGGGAACAAGACACCAGACACTGGCTATAGGATAGAGTGTCTTGTAGCCTGTGTCCTGTAGCCACTGTCCTATGGCCTCTGGCCTGTGTCCTAGATTGTGTAGCCTGTGTCCTATCTCCTGTAGCCTCTGTCCTGTGTCCTGTAGCTTGTCGCCTATGTCCTGTGTCCTGCAACCTGTGTCCCGTAGCCTGTGTCCTCTAGGCTGTGTCCTGGGTTCCATATTCTGTGTCCTATATCCTGTGTCCTGTGTCGTCTGGGCTATGTCCTGTGTCCTGTAGCTTGTGGCCTCTGTCCTGTAGCCTGTGGCCTCTGTCCTATGACTTATGTCACAGACTACCAGACACAGTACACAGGCTTTAGGACCCAGAACACAGGACATAAGACACAGGCTACAGGACCCAAGACACAGGACAGAGGCCACGGGACACAGGACATAGCCCAGACGACACAGGACACAGGACATCGAACATAGAATACTGAACACAGGACACAGGTTACAAGCTACAGGATATAGTTCACAGGCTACAGGACACAAGTTACAGGCTACAGGAGATAGGACAAAGGCTAAACAACACAGGACACAGGCTACAGGACACAGGGACAACTTGAGGACTCAGGATAAGACACAGGACCCAGGCTACAGGACTCAGGACAAACGCTAAAGGACGAAGAC